CAGCCACAACAGTGTGAATTCCTCAGGGAGGTGCCAATCTCATCCTCTTGTTCCTCCCACGTTGTTCTGGCAAGCCAAGAAAATGTTTATCTCCCTGAGCCTGGCCTTCATAATTCCATTCCATCACAGTAACAAACATCATATTTCTACCTATCTACCTACCCAGAACATTGGAGGATGGAAACAAATCACACATACCCCATTTCAGGAATAATACAGAACTATTAAAATTGCAAGATTTCAGGTCACAACTTTTCTTCAATATCAAAGCCTTTATTTTATGTGTATACAGACCATTGCATTTAAAATTTTAAACGAATTAAATCTAGACCACATGGAATCTCAATCTCTATCTGATCTTGCCTCTTCAATTATTTTATAATCATCAATGAATTCAATTATTGTGTTACTCAAGGGAGCCAGCAAGCATTCATTTGCCCAGCTGCCTTCTCTCCCAGTTCCCCACATTGACCTTTCGCCTTTTGTGCCAATCCACTGTGGCTGAAGCAGAAGCACCTCACTGCCTTTGCTGTCTCCTTTTCCGCCCCAGCTTCTCCTACAAACATTTCCTACACGTGGCTCCTGAGCCTTCAGAAAGCTGCACTGCCTTTGGAAAGCTGCATTGTCTTCGGAAAGCCTTTGGAAAGACAGTATAGCTTTCCAAAGGCAGCACAGCTTTCTGAAGACAGCACAGCTTTCCAAAGGCAATGCAGCTTTCTTCCACATTTTTCCACATTTATTTCAGAAACAAAGTTCCTATTATGTGTTTTTGGAAACACTGACTTTAACCTTCAGAAACAGCGTAGAAACCCAAAATGCATTATTCTGAAATGAAGTACAGTATTAAGGTCCTGGCTGAAACCTTGACAGGCAATTGCCTACTCTTGTTTGTGTGTTTGCTTCTAATTTCTCTTTCTCTCTACCCCAGGGTCAGATCAGAATCTCAAAGAAAATGGTGTTGTCTGAAAAGCCACAGCTGGGGATGATAGACAACTGGTACCATCTTGCCTGTTTCAGTAGCCACAGAACAGACCTGGGTTTTCTTCCTACCTTTAGTGCCTCTCAGCTCCAGGGCTTTGAGCTCCTGAAGGCAGAAGACAAAGAAACTCTAAAGAAGCAGCTGCCCTCTGTCAAGAATGAAGGGTATGTAGAAGATGCCAAAAGAAAGTGAGTGTTATGGTGTTGAGCCCTGACTTTGATCATTGTATGGCAAGCTCTTCTAAAACACTGGGGTGGTTGGTGTTTTCTTATGTGAGGTTTGGAAGATATCCAGTTGTGACCTATTGTGGAGGGGGCAGCAGGAGATTAGCCAGTAAATGCACTAAGCTTTTAAGGATGTTAAGCTTTCAATGGCCAGAGTAATAATGCAACATGGCAGATTGAGATGTTCCAATTCTTAGAGTTTTCTGTTGTTTTTGCAAGAGGATTTTTTTTTAATTACCTGCAACAAGCCTACCTTAAGGCTTACATTATTTTTATATGTTCCCTTCCACAAGATGGTGGGAAACAACAACATTGATTTTCAGTTACTGTGCCACTAAAATTTGGCAGCACTGTTACAGTGGCTTCTGAAGCCATAGGTAAGGAGTTTGTGGACCACAAGTTGCTGATTCTGTCTTACTGCTTGAAACGTGAGAATGAAGTGCAGCTTCTCTGGTGTAGATACCTATTCGTTTTCTGGTTAGCTTAAGATCCTCTATTGTTTTTCCTTCTCTTTCTCATTTCTCATTATCTAACCAACTGGGTTATTACATTATATTATATCTGGGGCCACCCTGAAGGTTTGTCCATAAACAGCAAGTAGTTCAAAACATTGAGGCTAGGTTGCTGAAGAGGACAAGAATATATCACATCTGCTCTGAAGACATTGCACTGGATTCCAGTTTGTTACCAAGCAAATTTCAAGGTTCTTGGAATGTCATACAAAGCATATACATTTTAGGACCTAGGTATATGATGGGGCATTTGAACTTGCCTGTCACCCAGGATCCTGTGAGGGTGCCATGTATGCAGCAGCCTGAGAAAGGGTGTTCCTGATACAATACCTTAATTGTGTTGTGGAATTCAGTCTCTGTTTGGTTACAGCTAGCGCTGAATTTTATCAGCTTTCCACGTAACTGTAAGACAGACCTGTTTATCTAGGCTTTTGTTTCAGTCTCTGCTGTTATCCATCTATTCCATTTGTTGTTAATTTATCTGTAATGATCTGTCGTCTCCGATTCCCAACGAAAGAAGATCCCCTCGAAACCAATATGGGTTCAAAGAAAAACTCATTTATTGAGAAGTACTGTACAGGTCCAAAGCATTGCTAAGACTAAGCCTGTGCGCGCCAAAAAGTTACTTTTGCCTGTTTCTTAGTGCACCCCCCCTTGCCTCCTAGCCCCAGCTTTCACAGTCCCCTCTCCATCGCACGTTGGTACGACCTTGAGCATTCTTGAGAATCCGATAACAGCCCATCTGCTTCTAACAGCTCCTTCCCTAATACCCTCCCCCTTTTCTATCTGTAATGGCAGAAACAAAACAAGCAAGCTAGCAAGTTGGCTGATTGATTGCGAGGATTCTGACAGTATCCTTAATATTGTTTTGTGATACTATAACTTTCAAATTATTTTTATCTTATTGCAAATTGTTGTTTGTTTATCTATACTTTGGGATTAGTTTTCATAAAATGTTCTATATAAAAATCTAAGCCAGTCTTCTATAGCTGCATAAGAAGTGGGAGTTACAATCCATCACAGTGCTGGACTACATTAAAAAAAAAAAAAAGCTCCCAGTCCCTTTTGGGGCTTTGTAGTTTCCCTCATCTACATGCTGCAATCTCTTTTGCTTTCTAGTTCTCTTTCTCCTGTTTTTCCAGAAGGAGACTGCAGCAGAAAGCAAATTCCTTAATTTTCTCCTTGAAAGTTAGCACAGCATTTGCTTATTTGTCTGGTTGAGATATTTTGGCTGTGAGTCATTTCCTCACAGGCGCTTCTGATGCTGATATAAACTCAATACTCCCTCCTAGTTCCCGTTAATTTAGCCTGTTGCCTTGAAAAGGAAATTGTACCCTTCTTTGGCCTGGAGCGCTCTTCAGTGAATGGTCAAACCCAGCATCTTCCCACAAAGCCATTGCATTGGCATCATGTCCAGACTGAAGGTGTGGAAGATCATGTACCATTTTTTATAGAAAAATACTGGAAAGCGAAAATAATGGCAGTCACTGGAGAGCAAAAAAGTAGAATTAAGGAAATTCTGAAGGGAATGCTGATGACCTTTAGGTAAAAGTTTTTCTTAGGACCACTTAATTCCAAATCCCCCTGCTTCTGAATTTCCCACTTGCTTTTTCAAAATGACTTTATGCAGTAGATTAAACAGCAGTTCAAGTTATTTCAGGGTTGCTGCTATAAAAATAAAATGTAAACCCTCCTGTAAGTGGCACAGACATATTCCTCCTCATGGGAGCAGTAAAAGAAGGAAGTATTCTAAATATGGAGTAGCAAATGACCTATACTTTATCATTCTCAAAGACTTCCTTCTTAAGAACCTAATAGTAATTCCGGTGCCTCAATTCTTGCCTCTTCCAAACATAAAATTTCTCTGAAATCTCAAATGACTACAGTAGAACTTTAATCCAGAAATAGTTTGAAGTAATAAAATTATCTTTATTATTGTAGATCCCATAATTCTCTCAAGTCTGGATCCACTGCTTACACCAAAAGAACATTGTCTACACAAAGATCAAAGTTACACAGAAAGTTGTGCTTTTCTAGGGCTCTTTGGAATTGAAATAGCTTACGCCTATAAGCAAAACATCTAACAAATTCACCCAAGGGTTCTGTGTTTTTGAGTGATCACAGAGGATCATTGGTTATTTTATCTAAGGATGGAATTCCCATGAATGATTTCAGAGAAAAACAAACAAACATGGATTTAGATCTCAGAAAGGCCCTCAAAGCTACTGCCTAAAACTACAGGTTATTATCACCTCAATCATTCTTAAAACATTGATTGCTTTAGATGCAAAATTTGGCCCCAGAGTCAAATCTTGATCTTGTTAGTTTTTGCAAAATTGAAAACTTAAGCTTTCACTACTGACACCACTGCTGCATAGTTTTTGGTCAGGATGGTAAGCGTTGCTACCATAATGGCTGAAACACTGGAAGCTAAATGTTACTTTCAGGACCAAGTTTCCCTCAGTTTTACACAAGAGGTCTTGCCTAACAGAAGAATAAAAAAACTGTAGAAAACGCCATACTAGAAATGAGAGAAAAATGAAAGGTATGGATTGATGGTTAAACATGCTTAGCTGAATTACACAACTTCCTAAGCCATCAATCATTCTTTTACAAACCACAGTGTTGGTTTTGTCTTAACCTGTTGTGTAAACACAACAAATAATATTATGGCTTAGTATGATATGTGGACCCAGCCTATAAGATAGACACATTTACTTTCGCTGAGGCTCTTTTGAAGGACAGTGATCTAACATCTCTTTTGGGGGATGGGCACCAAATTATTCCAGGTTGCTAAATAGCAAGTGTATATCCCGTTGCCTAATACCTCCTACATCACATATTTACCATGAAGGTGCCTTCTTGCCTTGTATGTGGAGTCATCCAACCCCATTCTCTAGAAAGGTGGCCGCCTTCATGGATAGTTCTGTGAAATTGGATCCTTCATCTTACCGTCTTTCTTCCTTCTTGCCATTCATCCTATAAAATCTAATTTTGTATTTATCTTTGTCATTTGTTCTTAATGACATCATTATTTTTTGTTCCAAGTTCAGTCATGAAACTAAACTGAGGGTAAAAAGATGTCTGCAAACAAGATATGGGGTGGCATGTATATAGTTTCTGTGTTCTAAATAATAGTAGGAATTACCCATCATTTGATGCCCTAAATATCACAGGAACTGTCATAATAAATACTTATTCCACTTTCTGTTTTCCTGTCTTCCAGAGAAAAGATTTGCAAGAATTGTCAGGACTTGTAATTGTTACATAAGCCATTTCTGGTGGGTTTAGGCAATATAATCAAACAATTTGGGGAGAGAGATTATTTAGATTGTGAAATCAGTGGGCTGTTTGGGTTACCTGATTAAGTCATTACCAAATGACTTAAGTTTCTTCATTATGAGCCTCTGTTGTAGGCTAATAAAATGCCTGCTATTACCAGTTTGCAGAAATTGGCATTCCAGTTCACACAAACTGACAATAGCAGCTTCTTGTAGCACATACATCTTCAAATTAATCTTAACAGAGAGTAAGATGATAGCACATATAACTCCATTAAAGTACTACACAATGCTTAGCATTTTGTTGAAACCTAACTACTGTATTGTGATTTGTAAACTAAGTTTTAAAACTTAGAATTGTTCTGCAAACCTGTATCACTCTTGTGTATTGTATCACTCTTGTGGGCAGGAAGCTAAAGAAATGTGCTCACCCATGGACCCTCGTAATGTCAGATCCACCAATCTTAAAGTTTTTTCATTGTGTCTCCCAAGTCTTGCACATCAACCAAACATTGGCTAGTCTTGGAAGGCATAAGCCACCTCGTGAGCTTACAAACAATTGAGCAAGTCCTATGAGATGAAAAGTTCTCTAGCTCTTGTTCCATATTCTTTGTCATTTCCAAGGAAAACAAGGACTGGCATATCATTCTAGATCTTAAGTGGGTTAACCACCACATAAAGCATGGAGGATGTCTTTGCTTTGCTGGGCCTTCAGAAGGCCTGTCTCCACATCCCAATTCACCCATTTCACACAAGGATTCTGTAATTTGAATACCAGAGAATTCATACTACCACTGTAAGTCCCTTTCATGTGGCTCGTCATCAGCTTCCACAGTATTTACAAAAATGGTGGTAACTGTCATATCAGATCTCAGGGGTACTTATGTACGCCTTGGATGGTCTGCTGATCTGATCCATATCTATAAAACAATGACTGAAGGACATCAGGACCACCATACAGACTCATGTGAGTCTGGTGTTCCTGATCAGTGAAGAGTATCCAGGAAATAGCATTGTCTAGGTGCAATTCTAGACATGAAGAAAGGCCTTATCTCCCTTTCACAGGAGAGAAAAGATAGCATACAGCAGCTTTTCATGCCAGTTCTTTTCAGCAGATATTCAAATCATATGACTCTCATCATTCTTCAGGGACAGATTATCATCTGCATAATACTGTGGGCAAGATTACACTCACGCTCCTCCCCTTCCAGAACCTGATAGCCCAAAGGTCTCAAAGGCAGTTGAAGATCCAACCAAATGTACCATAAACTTGGGGGGGGGGGCAGAGTGGTTTAGAATTTCTATCTTCCAGGTAAAAAGATAAGAATTCTCAAGCAGTTGATTGACTTTGGAAGGATGAAAAGCCATGGCACAGGTGAAAGAAGGAATTAAAAAACTGTTCAAATACAACTTTCCTTAAAGCCTTTTCTTTTCAATTTTACATGATTGAGAATGACAAGGTGAAAGTTGATAAGTTCTGAATGTCTTCCAACTTAGGTTCAGATATTAAGAATCTTCATCTGAAAATTTTTGCTTGCATAGGAGTGTGCATAAATGTCGCTAACATATAATTTTCATCATCCTTCATTGTTTGCCAATGATAGCTGGAACTTCTGGAAATTGAAATTCAATAATATCTGGACAGCCACAGATTGTTGAACTCTTGCATAGAAAATGTAATATATGTTCTACGAATATGATGGCTAAAATGTGTTTCTGCTGTGGAAATGTAACTCTAGCTAATGTTCTTAGAAAGGAAATCCTGAGGAGAGCCCTGTTGCATTATATGGAAAAGACTTTGGATGCCTATGTGGCTTTGCTCTGTGAATTACAGGAACTTACAAGAAAAGTTCATGCCAGTACTAAGCATTAATGAACACAGGGAGCAAATAAGTTATTGTAGATGTATGTAAATCACATACATCCTCAGTTGATGTTTTTTATTCAGTCTTTCTCTTAAAGATGCTGCATGACAAATCTCAGCATGACTGGCTGGAAGTTATGGAAGTTACAACCTAGGATTATACATATGTTTGACTGCTCCATAAGCCTTTCTAGGTAATCTCTGTTCTTCAGTGAAATGATAAGGATACTTGTATTGATCACAAGCTGAGAGCCAATGTAGTGTAGTGGTTAAGGTGCTGGATCAGGACTGGGGAAAGCAAGAAGAAGGGCTGTGTACACCATCTTGAGCGCCTAGAAGAAAGGCAGACATCTCTCTGTGTGTATATGCATATGTGTGTATATATATAACAAAATAAATAGTAAATCTACCAAATGAAATAGAAATAACGGATGATAAACTGCAAGGAAAAAATAAGAAAATAATCATTCAATTATAAACTAAAATAATCTTATATCTATTAAAAGAAATTGGGGAAATAACTTTGAATAACTCTCCTTAGCACATTGTATGTATTATTTTGTTTCAGAAAGAGAAAAGGAGATGAGGTGGATACAAATGTGATTTCAAAAAAGAAATCCAAAAAAGAGAAAGAAAAATCAACCAAACATGAAAAGCTGCTAAAGGTTTGTTTCATTATGACTAATTAGTTTCACTTAAAACTTTTGATGAGGAGGTTCAAAAGCAGTAAGAGGATTTGACTTCTTGATGGAGACTGCTATCTTCTGCATTGTCACTATCCTACATGTGGATTAAAATTGAAGAATGTTTGAAGTAAGCAGAATGTGATACTGAAGGAGCTTACAGCACTATCAACTTGCACCTAGAAGCAAAGTATCATATTTTGGTAGCTTGTCTTAACTGTGAGCCAAGTCCCGGTAAGAAGAAGCTAGCCTGGAATGACCCTCTGGTTGTTCTAGAAGTAATCTCTTACCTCTTGTTTCTTCTATTACCATCCAAACAATACTTCATATAGAAATCCAGAATGAGGTACAATTGTAGTACATGGGAAATTGGCAGTTTTGGATTCTTAATCTAGATTTATCAAAAAGTTAGGTCTTAATAGTTAGTTCTTAATAGTTATCATGTTTGCTACTGCTAGGAATCTTGAGAACCATAGAGTTATAATTGGGTGAAGCCTCTGCCTTCTCCATCTCATCATTAAGCCAAAATGCTTCCATGATCCATTGGAGGCATAAGATGCAGATTTGTTGTTGTTGTTTAGTCGTTAAGTCGTGTCCGACTCTTCGTGACCCCATGAACC